GCAATGGACACTAGCCAAAGTACAAGAAGAAACAGGAGATCTCGTCAGCGACAATGATGATATCCTTTTAATATCATAGGCCTGCCTAAAGCGAAAGAAGAAATTGGTCGACATTACTTTTGTGATGCCTAGTCGTTAATGCATTTCAAATTATCTTAGCAACGATTCTTTTTAAACTTTCAACTTGTTGTGAAATGGATCTGTGGATACGTTATCTAGACTATACCACAAAAGTTGCCAGGCATAGAGTCTTTGATGAAAAACCGGTTCGGTTGTACCATATAACGAAAAAATGCGAAAAGTACCGAAAAATGCAGACAAAATACCGAAAACTTTTTTGATACTAATTACCGAAAAAATCCGAAAAACCCCAAATATCGAAAAATCAATAAATAACGAAAAAAACGACACTAATTACCGAAAAAACCCTAAGCCACACACAAAAATTGCTAGGTGGGTCAGACTAGACCATGCATAAAAATTGTTGGGAACTGTAGGTTACGCATTAAAATTGTTGACACTCTAGCTAGGTGGGTAATGGGTCAAGCAAGATCAGGCATAAATATAGTGGTAAACTTTCAGTCAGGGGCGGATTGGGGCCGGGAACCGGTCCGGGCTCCCTTGTCGGAGCTACCCCTTTTAATGAACCCCAAATATGCGATTTGGTGGCATATCTGATTATAATCTTTGTCAAATAATATATCTCATAAATCGATTAATTTAGGCCAAAACCCCGACCTACAAGTAATTTACAACCATCAACCTGTGAAATTATCATATCGTCATATTATTAATTAACGTATTATCATTGTATCGTCAAGAGTCAAGAGAATTTAACTGGTTTAAAAATGGGACTAGTTGAGAAAATTTTGACCATTTGATTAACCAGTTAGGAATATTGAATAAGTAGGAATATTTTCATTGTAAAATGTCCCATTTTTGTTGCCGGAGCCCTAGTTGATTCCTCCTGTGATGGAATTCGGAATCCCCATTGCAGGATTCCGAATTCCGGCCCACACCCAGCACACCCGGCCCAGAAAGTCTATTATACCAGCCCATTCCAGACTCCAGTGATAGCGTGGCGGCCCGTTAAAGACACCGGCCACATCATCGTAGTTCCATGGCCGGTCCAATATCCCCCCCCCCCACCATATAATGTTCAGCAGAAAAAGTTTTTTTTAGACGAATTGTACATTGGCCATTGATCACAATATGTCCCGCATAAGACTAGTTGGGCATTGTAGGTGGGTCATGGGGTCAGGCATTTAGTAATTGAAGCATAATCAAATAACACACTATTTATGGATAACAAATTCTATAGTTTAATTCACATGTCCTTACCAAGCATATAACATTAATAAACAAGCCAACAGTGAGGCTGATGACCCCGTCGAAATCCCTAAATAAATAGATGACCCATAATAATTAATCGCACATTTATTTTTTTCAAAAGTATCGAGCAATCAAACTGATTATCAACTATACACTAAGTTTCATCACTCTCTATCAGATAGAATCAAAGTTATCTTGTCCCAAAGCATCGATCATTGAAATTGCTTAGCTCTGCTTAGCTTTAGCCCGAAATGTTAATTACTGAACTGAGTCAAGACATTCAGCTAATGAACATTTACATCAAGTTTCAGCATTCTACCTTAATTAAGAGGAGTTATTGCGTTCCAAAGTCCTGACCAATCAAATTGCTTATCGCCCTTTAGCCTAAGCAGCAAATTCTCACGATCGAACTTAGTCAAGCTAATATCGCCCTCACTTCATTATAACCAAAGTTATCATGCCCCAAAGCATCAACCAATCAGATAGCTTATCTCTGCTTACCCTTAACAGACAATGTTCATGATCGAACTCCATCAAGGCATTCAATTAATGAACGCCTACACCCAGTTTGAACATTCTACCTCAATTAGAATGAGAGTTATTGTGTTCTAAAGTCTCGGCCAATCAAATTGCTTATCGTTCTGCTTACCCTGAGCAGAAAACTCTCATTATCGAACTTAGTCAAGGTATTGATGTAATGAAACTATACACCAAGTTTTATCACTCTCACTTAATTAGAACTAAAGTACTATCGTGTCCCAAAGCATCAACCAATAAAATTGCTTATCTCTGCTTACCCTAAGCAAAAAATTCTCATCTTCGAACTCCATCAAGGCATTGACCTAATAAACACCTACACCAAGTTTGAACATTCTTGTTCAATTAGAAAGAGACTTATTGTGTCCCAAATAGTGTGACGGACGGACAGACGAACCCATTTTAATAGTCATCTGCTTTCTTCGAAAGGCGGGGGACAATAAAATGAAAAGAATATGGCTATTTATATACAAGAGCGGTGCTGACCCTCCAAAGGGATGCAAAGTCAGCTAGTATGGGCATTGTAGTGTCCCAAGCCGTTAGATAATCAAATGCACATATACAGGTATAAACTGTAATTGGTATAGATAAGCACAAGAACAAAAGATCAAACAATTATTCAAGCGGTATAATGAACCACGAGCAATAGGCCATAACAGTAAAAACATGATAACGACATGTAAAATCTTGTTGAAACGTCACAGTGAAATAAACTATAGTAATTGTTATCCACAAATAGTGTGTTATTTGCTTAAAAAGACATATTACAAGCTACATTAAACAGAAAATCGATCATTTTACGGAAATTCTGGCCGCCATTATGAATATTCACCATCTTGGATTTTTTTAAACACTCTGTGTTTTGGTTAATTTTAATGTCAGTAATCCCTTTCAATTGGATATTACATGTAATATCAAACTGTGAAATAACTATTATCTGACAAATTGGCCATTTGAGCAACTTTTGGCCGCCATTTTGAATTTATGCCATCTTGGATTTTGGACACTCATATTAGAGATTATTTTTTTATGATCAATGTTTCTGATATCTAGTAAATCACTTTAGTTGACCAAATAGATAAATTGGCTTATATGGGTCTGAACAAGATTTTTTTAGTAAAATTATGAACAGACATCATGAAAAAAAAACCGAAAATATTGCTGTTTTCAGATCAGTCTTTTATTTTGAAACCGAAAGCATTTCTTAAACAACACGAGTCATATACCAGCAGATTTAGAATTGTATTATGAACATTTTGAGCCATTTTACATATCCATAGGTGAACCTGTTGAGGAGTTGTGTGTTAATGTTCTTTATTTCACCTTTTTATAATTATACTTTCATTTTACCTTTATCACTTTACTTTCACTTTGTTTATACCGGAAGTGGAACTCTTCACTGAAGGAGTCTGGGTTAGTGTGAAATAAATATGGTTGACAGAGCACATGTGTTTTATTGAATAAGAGCCAATTTTAGCTGATTAACAGTGGTAGCAGAGCGTGGTTGATAAACTATAGAGTGTAATATTGAAATATTAAGTGAACAATCAAAATGACCACAAAAATTTACCCACCAGATTAACATTGTGGAGGTTTCCCTGACTTGCACTATTTCAAATAAAAAAATGGCGGCCATTTTTAAAGATGGCCGCCAAACTCACATTTGGCAAAGTGACCCGGATGTCCATCAACCAATTTTGGACACTTTAGACCTAAGGCTAACTGAAAATCATGGTTAAATTTATTCATCAAATTGGTAATGAAAATCTGTCTGTCACATGGACTATAATTTCTAGAGTTATGGCGGTAGTGAACCTTGTCACAAAAGTGATCATCTAATCTGTATGAAATTTATATGCATTATTTAAATTAGTAAAACGAACAGCCTGTCAAATTTCAACAATTTCTGTAGATTACTTCGAGAGTTGAGACCCTTGTTTCAGTTTGTAGAACCTTGTGAACCCTCAAACGGCAAAAATTATAATCTGATCTGTATGGAACTGTCTTGTAAAGGCCCCCAAACCTACAAAGGAATAAATATGCGACAACCCTTGTCGATCACTCGGACAAATTAGTTGCTGTGGGCGTATGTTTCGTAGCTTTGCAACCTATCTTAAGCTTGGTGCAGACGGTCAACTTTTCGTCGCTTGTTGCTGCAATAGGCAACTACTGGCAACTCCGAGCAATTGGCAACTCGAGGTCTCCCGTGTGCGCTGACTGGCAACGAGAAGCAATTTTTCCCCGGATGTATCCGGAATGCCGATATCACGTGATCAAAGAGACAGCCATGTTTTTTTGCACGATCCGAAATCCGAATACTCGGCTGAGCTTACATCATACAATACTGGCCGCTCAGCCCACATTTCCACCAACATGTCTTCCATCTCCACGGACCATGTTAATGTTGTTAGCTGTTCCATCTTGAAGTATCATATGACAGTAGAGTGCTCGCTGATTGGACAGTTAACCAGTTGCTTGTTGCCTGTTGTCGCCTACCGCCGCAGACGAGCAATTTTGAAGCAACAGATGAACAATTTCTCCGCGACAAGCGATTTTCTGTTGTCGAATATCAAACATGTTTGATATTTAGCAACTCGGAGCAACAGCAGGCAACTATTGTTGCCCGTTGGCGCAGACGAGTGATTTTTTCTTTCAACGACCAGCGATTTCACTGTTGCCTGAAAGTTGCTCGAAAAAGTTGCCCGTCTGCGCCTGGCTTTAGTCCAAATATATCATCAAATCACAAAGTTTGTGCGCGGGAATGTATCTTTAAGTTCATCTAAATCGGATAAAAATTCTGAACTTTAAAATCGATCTGATTTTCAGAAAATTTGGACGTAACAGTGATATATTTGAACGGTTTTGAAAATAATATTAAAATGGTTATGTCTTGAGGGCCCACAAGCTAAAAACGTGATATTTCGTATAATCTGGGGTCATAATCCAGAATGTTACGGTCAAATATGCACCAATATCGAAAGGAACCCAGACCTTTTGAGATATATCAAAATTGGATAAAAATTCGAACCTCTGGATGGCCCACAACCTGGGTATTACATTCTTTTAAGGGTAGCGTTCATTTTTTCTAGCAGTTTTGTTCTGATTTTCACAAAATTTGAACTCGGACGTAATTATGGTGTAACAGTGATATATTTAAATGGTTTTGACAATCAAATAAAAACTGTGAGGTCTAGAGGGTCCACAAGCTAAAAATGTTGAGATCTTTCGGTTATAAACATACATTGTCAGTTTCATCAAAATTGTATAACAATTGTGAACTTCTAGGATGGTAGCCCCACCTAATCAAGAACTGCTTTCGCCGGCCCCGTACATGTGTCAGTCACGATTACTTGTGAATACTCTAGAGACTATGTATGATTTTTATCAGGGATATAATAATACTTGTATAATCCCTCTTATTTGAATAGTTAAAATTTTCAGTGACAAAACTGAACATGTTAATAGACAGAGAGACGTGTATGGCATAATAGTAAGCCTTTTGGGTTAAAAAGAAAAACAAATTACATTGTACTTATTCTTCGTTGATAATCATTATTAGTGCATAAAAACAGAATCAGTACAAACAGATCCAAGTTATAATTTATTTAATAGTGACAGGATGAGATTAAATAAATATATAACAGACATTTATGATAAATATATTTAATTCAGTATTTAATTCAGTTGACATACACCTGCTTAATATTGTGATTCCCTCTTTGAGAAATACAGATTTGATCCCAAATTTATGATAAACATGCAAGTTCCATAGAGTTTTCCTGTATTCTCTGATTAATAGGAGTTTAAAATGTATTTCTTATTGAACCAAATAAATGTATAATCCAGAATAGCATGAACAAGAAATCATAACTTTTTGGAACAATTTGAGTCCAAATTTTGAGGGAAGATAACATCTATTATATAATGTTGAACAATGAATGAATTTTAAAATTTTGTCCCCTACAGCAATATTATTTGTTGTTTATTTCTTGCAATGTGTGTATTTTGTCTTATCGGTCATCCTGCACTTACTATTAACCGATTAAGAAGTAATCCTTGCTTAAATTCATTATTTCTTAAAAAATTAAAGTTTATTTCAATCATCATATACAATAATTTAATTAAACTTGAAGTATGACCCAATTGAAATGAGTTACAATTAATTTCATTTGTCTTAAACATGGACAGAATTAAACCTCATTACCACATCATCATATAGGCAAAAAAAACACCCTTTCTTAAAAAGCTTGAGAAATAATGTTTCATATCGGTTTCTAGGGTTGTACGTAGTTGCATAATCATACAGAAGAAAGTAAGCAATGCATTCGTATTATTATTAGTACTATTCACATATCTTTCATAACAACTATTGACACATCAACATTGTTCAGTCTGGGCACTAGAAAAATCTTACCTGCAAGACAATGTTGATTTTAGATACAAAATTACCCAAACACATTCTAGTTGTATTTTAAGTTTAGTGAATTGACGATGTCTATGGTTATTTCTTATATCGAATGCTGATTTTCCTATTCAAATATTTTCCTGTGAATACAAGGTATCCTTACACTTTCTAGAACACAGATATCACTTCCCATTGATGAAGTAGGGCTTTAAACTCCATTTCATTTCATTTAGGTTTTTATTTATCACAGTTTGAATTTTATGTTGACTTGCAAAGAGAAAAGCTTAAAGGAGCTAAATCGCTAACATTTAGGACCTAGAAATTGACACAAGTGGGTCGCAACTCATATAATACTGTAATATGAATGTATATAAACTGATATACATTCAATGGTTTCCGTTTTTACTCTAATTTCAAATCAGTTATGTTCCGCGAAATAAGCCTGAAGTCTCAATCGAATGCAAATTTTTAGCGCCTGGTTATTCCAGTCTACACACGCCGTTTGGTTTGGTGCAATATGTCTAGCCTCGTTCCTCGAGTCTCTTGCTAGAACTGGGGCTGAAACGCATTATGGTGCACGATTCATGTACCAATGGCAAAATGTTTATTTTGGCTGAAACGCATTATGGTACACGATTCATGTACCAATGGCAAAATGTTTATTTTGTCTTAAACATTGGATATCAGAAGCCCATCTTTTTCCGGTAAGATCACAGCATTAATGTTGATTTAAATTGACAAATAATTTGTGTTTTCAATGTTGAAGATTTTGGATGATACTGAGTTAGAGACTTTGCTACTTTAAATAAGGTTTTAAGATTTTTCTAGTACCCGACTGCTGTACTCCAAGGGAAAACTCTTTCTGAAATTAGCTAGATTAAATACTAGTATAAATATGTATATGATAAATAATAGTAGTATACAGGAAGTTAAACATGCAATTTGACTTGGTACCCTGTTTGGTTTGGTACCATAGACTTGAAATTTTGAAACAAAAATGGTAAACATAAGCCTCGTTTACACTTGGCCGCGATAAGCATGCTGTTCTGGGCACGGTACCAGGCCGCGATAAATTTCAAGAAATTGACCGGTTTACATTACTCTAAAATAACCGGTCTCAGAACCGTGCCAAGCACGCTAAATGTGGAACTCTTAACAGAAAAGTTAATTTCAGTCCCTATACAAATTACCCAGATGAAAACAATTATGATGGTTGATTTAGTTTGAGAAGCCATTTTGACAGAACTGATGACAGAGCTGTCAAAGTTTGTGGGGAAAAAGGTTAAGGTTCATTTGGCGCATGTGCAGTAATCCATGCTCAGACCGGTTAGCGTTTACACTACGAAAATTTAAAGCGAGCCAGTCCTGGTACCGTTCCGAGACCACCTCACTTCAGTGGGCCAGATTGGCACCGTACCAGGCGTGGCACGCTTACGTTTGACCTGTATACACTACAAAAAAGCAAAGCGTGCCGTACCCAGTACCGTGCCTGGTGCGCTTAAAATTTGTAATGTAAACAGGGTTATACATAACATACAAGACAGTAAACGTATTTAAAGACCTAAATAGACCTAATAATAATGAATAGTAAAGGAATATGAAAATAAATTTTAAACCATATCAATGATTCATAATAATGATTCATATCAACAGGTTGTTGAAAGTTTTTCAGCAATGAAAAGGTAAGAAGTGAAGCAACGTGATACATTTATTCTCAGTCAGTAAAAAAATTGAAACCGTATGAAAACAAATGATGGAACCAAATAAATATGTCCATGTAAATTGAGTCACATTCAAGTAACCAAGCCAATTCAAGTACCAAGTCAATCCATGACAAATGAAAGTTATTTGTAGTTTAACTTTGTGGAAAAATTTAGTACCTATATTTTAATAGAATCATTGACCCCTGTATATTTTCGTATTAATGACATATTTTTTATCTGCTGTATATTGAAGTTGAGATGAAATGTTGTAATGATCACATGGTAAAATGGCGTGTATAATCGTATTCTATCGTAGGTATCACAGCTTGTACAAATTTTAAAAATATCATCAAATACCTGGAATAATTGTTAAGGAAAATATAAATCTAATTATCTTTGAGTCATCAATTTTTATATTCAAAGAGAGAGAGAGAAATGGGGTTTAAGGTCCACAAGACACAAACTAGGTCATTTCTAGACTAATGGATGGTTCAATTTTATTTAAATAATTAGCTTCACGTGTAAGGTTCTTTAGCTGTGGAAGGAAAGCAGACAAGCAGGTAATGGAAACCATGTTAAAGGGACAATAACACTCTTGCTGGCTTGACAGCTCCAGAAAATAAATAATAGCCTTATTCTAAGTATTAGATGTTTAAGTATCCTACCTGTTCTGTAAATTATCCATTAAATCCTATTTTACTTGTCCAGAGGGTTCGAAAATATTTTTAAATCCAAGTCACATTTGAAAAGCTTTACGTTAGGCTTTTCAAATCATTTAGTTGAATTTTTCCAATTTTTTCAATTAGGTGTGTTAAGATGAAATTTGTATCATCAATTAATTGGAATATTGTAAAATAGTACAATTTGTTGACCAGAATAAAGATTGGGACATATTATTCAGTTACAACAAGAGTGGTATTGAGCCTTTAAACGATTTGGCCACCCAACCCCCTATTTTTTTTATTCAATCTATTTACAGATTGTTTTAAGGAAGGCAACATAATATGCATGCCCACCAACAGCCATCTTAACGGAGGTATAGTATAGTATGTTGTAATGTACAAATGTTCTCAAGAAGATAACAAAGATTTTGTAAATGGGACAATAACTCCACACAAAAAGATGCACATCTCTGAATTTTGATTATGGTTCATCTTTATGACTAGCAGAATATTTTGGATAAAAACTCAACAGCAGGTGGTTATAGGGTTGGCGAGAATGGCAATGATTCTTTGTAAAATTATACGTCATGAGTAGATCATAAAGAATTTTGAAATCCAAAAAATGGTTGTTTACAGTAAGTGACATTATAGAGAGATAAAACTACCAGAATTTCTAATGTAAATTGCATTGTCAAGAATTAACATGATTGGAACTATCTCGCCATAATAGATTAAAAAAAACCACCACAATTGGAATTCAACCATTTTTGGAATGATATTCCTTTTAGAGATTCAACTCTCACAATAGTAAAGTTTGCAAAGGATTTGTAATCCCTCAAATCGGCTTAAAGAAATCATATAATACAAGGATACATGTGAACACCAAGTTCTCCCCCTCCTTCTGCTACTGTTTGTATAATCTTCTTCATAACATCAGCATGTCTACAATAATACACAAAATCTCTTGATATTGTTCTTGTATTGATAATTTTCAAAACAATAAATTATATTCAGATATCTTCTGTACCGACTGGGCTATTGAAGACGGACATAAGTGTGCTATGAGGGAACTTTTGTCTGGACAGCGTTGCTATGGCCTACTTTTATTTCGAATTCCAACTGTCAAGGGTTCTTTTATGTGCATACCCATGTGTACACAGGACCGTGTTTTTTTTTGTCCCATCCAACCAACTAGGCACTGTCCTTGCCAGGCCCTTCATCCTGCACTACTGACTTGAGAAAATCGTGGCAGAAAATCCTGAGAAACTTTCTAAGCCAACACTGGAAGCAAACCTGACACGTACTGGTTAGCCTCTTACTCACTAAGCCACCAGCATTCTGGCAGATATATACCAGCGGTTGCCAGGCAGGATATGCCCACATTTTGCAAGAGATGAATAGAGAACAAGCTAAAAACAAAAAGGATTTTTTGTACAATCAGGGGTCATAATCCAGAAAGTTATGGTCTGAAATGTGAGATTTTTGGAATATAAAGATATGTTTAAGTTTTATCAAAATTGGATAAAATTGTGACCGCTAGAGCGTCCATAACCTTTGTATTTCATACTTATCCACAATTTGCGTACAAAGAGCGGCCATTTTGTCGCGCAGTTTCATTTCGATTTTCCCAAAATTCCAATTCAATCTTCATTATGGTGGAATGGTGATATATCTAAACGGTTTTTAAAATTGGAAAAAAAATTCTGACCTCTAGAGAATCCACAAGCTAAAAATGCAATTTTCGACCAATCAGGGGCCATAATCCAAGACATTATGTTTGGATATGTGTGATTATCAAAAGGAACCAAGACATATATTTAAAGTTTCATCCAAATCGGATAAAAACTGTGTCCTCTAGAGGGTCCACAACCTTGATATACCATTTTTTTTACACAATTTGCGTACAATTTTTGTCAGATTTTCACGAAATTCGAACTCAACCATCATCAGTGTATAACTATGATATATTCACAAGTTTTTTTTTTAAATCGGATAAAAATTGTGACCTCTATAGGGACCACAAGGTCAAAACGCGATTTTTCGTACAATAAAGTGCCATAATTCAGGAAGTTACGATCCGATATGCGCAAATATCGAAAGGAACCAATATCGTTGGGTTATAAACATGTATTTCAAGTTTCATCAAAATTGTGACCTCTAGAGGGTCCACAACCTTGATTTACCAGATGTTTACACTATTTGCGTACGAGGGGTGGCCATTTTGTCCGTCAGTTTTGGACTGATTTTCACAAAATTCGAACTCAACAAACATTTTGATGTAACGGTGATATATTCTTAATCGAATCAAAATTGTGCCTTCTAGGAGGTCCACAACCTTGATATACTAGATGTTCACACTATTTGCGTACAAGGGGCGGTGATTTTGTCCGACAGTTTTGGTCCGATTGTCACGAAATTTGAACTCAACCATCATTAGGGTGTAACGGGGATATACTAAACCGTTTTTTTAAATCGGATAAAAATTATAACCTCTAAAGTGACTCACAAGTTAAAAGCATGATTTTTTGTACAATCAGGAGCCATAATTCAGGAAGTTACAATCCGATATCGAAAGGAACCAAGATCTTTGGGATATAAACATCCATTCTAAGTTTCATCAAAATTGAATGAAAATTGTGAATTCTAGAGGGTCCACAACCTCGATATACCATATTTTACACTATTTGCAACCATTTTGTCTGGCAGTTTTGGTCCGATTTTCACGAAATTCTAACTCAACCATCATTAGGGTGTAACGGTGATATACTAAAACGCTTTTTTTAAATCGGATAAAAATTGTGACCTCTATAGGGACCACAAGCTCATACAATCAAGGGCCAAAATTCCGGAAGTTACGATCCGATATGAGCGAATATCGAAAGGAACCAAGATCTTTGGGTTATAAACATGTATTTCAAGTTTCATCAAAATCAAATCAAAATGTGGGCGTATAAAAAAGATTCATGCTTTATACAATGTACCAAGGCATTTTGAACATGTTATCCGAGTTGTAAAGTTTGGGAATCAGAATTCAATTTGCAGTACTTAAGCATTTACCATGATCTTATTGTTACTAGAATACTACTGTACTATTAAGAAATAACCAACAAATGCCAGTTTTGAAAATAATGTATAAACAATCACTCCCGATGGCGAAATGCCACAGAAAAGTTAAAGTTTACAATCTTTCGTTATTCTTAAAAAAATAATTTGAGAAACTGAGAATGATAGAAATCAACACAAACTAGGTCATTTTGGGACTAACATATTGTTCAATTGTAATTCATTAATTTGCTTGCACATAGGGGTCTTTAGCTGTGGGGTGAAACTAGAGAAAACCCACGCAGTTGGACAGGCGACTCAACTCCTTGTCACGTACAAGCAGGGAATTGAAACCACGTGACTTGACTTAATGACAGACCTTATGATCTTATGTGCACATGTTAACCCATTTGGCCACCCAATTCCCCTCAAGAAACGGAAGTGAAACAATCATTTTAATATTACTTACTTGCATGGATGAACAGACGCTAATGGTGGTCCTGGTAAATGAGGATGTGCTTCCATGGTGACAGTTTTTTTGGCATGATCTTGACTAAAATCATCATATAATTCATCTACTGTTAAAGGTTTTCTATTCTAAAAAAACAATTCATTTAAATTATTTCTTTATTTTAATATTTCATAAAAGCAAAACAAGCCAGCTAGTTCACATTACTAAATATGTAAGATTTTAATTTAAAGACTGTTGCCCTAATATCAAGCATAACATTTTTTTCCAAGGATTGCTGAGAATCTTATTAGGCTAATTTTCAACACATCCGAATTCTTATCCCCCAAAATTAAACAGGCATTATGCAAGAGCTAAATCTTCCTATTTCAGATCTTTCTTTGGGCATTAAATGTTACTCAAACTATATTTAGACATTTATTAACTTGACAAGACCATAATCAACTCTTGATGCCATCGAATGGTTCCGATTTTAAGTAGATTAGAACTGTTTGGCTATTTAATGATTTAATTTAAAAATGGTGAAGCAAGACTAAGTCTCGAACAACCGGTACAGTGGTTACAGTCAGTGAACACATCTTGTCAAACCTTCAAATACTAATATCTTTGCCCAGAATAAAGAAATTTTAATGAAGTTTTCAATATATTCATTTTGCCTTATCTATTTTTGAACTATTATAGCAAGAACGACCAGCTCTTTATAAATAAATCTTACATACTGCTTCTTTAATCTAGTTTCTTCATGTTACTGGTCTAGAAATTACCATATCCCTAAATGAATTGACTAGAGGTTGAAGCATTTGTCCAAGTTTCATAAAGTTCTTTAAGATTTAATGTAGTTTTTAAAAAAAAACAGGGACAACCCAAAAAATTTGACCTTAATCTTTAACTTTCAGTGACTTTCATCAAAGGGAATCAAAGACATCAATGAACAGTGGACAAGGCTTGACAGCAAAATTGTTGCCATCATTGCGGAATAACAATTAAGAATCGATCATCCAGTGCTGTTTGTGATTGTCAGTAGTGTTTCCCATAGTTATGTACTTAATAGCTGAGTCTAGTGTTCAGCTCCTCTTTTCAAGAAATGTTTAATAGAGTTACTTCTGTTGATCATGGGCAATATGAACATGCGGAAATTGTTAACTTCGTTTTTATCGCATTTTTACTTAAAAATAAAAATAGGTGACACAGTCGATTTATGATGACACAGTGGTATCCGAGAACCAGAATATTTTTTTATTTTTTCTTTGTGTGGTCTAAAATTGAAAATTAAAACAACTTACTTCATCATAACCAAAGAGCCATAATCGAGGTGTTTGATAATATTTATCATAAGTTATATTTAAATCATAAGTTCTAGTTTGTATAATACCACTATCACCACCACCAGCAGCGCCATCAGATTCTGATACTACTGCCTCTGGTTTCAATGCTGCCTGCAAAATAAAAATGAAGCAATAAATTAATCATGGAATTATACAAATATATCATTTGCTCAGTTACAGAAAACATGACGTTTAGATCATGGAATTCTTTTAAACATTTCTGATTTGGAGGCAATGCAATATTTGAATTTGAGTGTGTTATGCAAAACTATAAATTTCAATAAATAAAACCTTTTGCATTAAGAATTACAAACATTTATGTACTGTGTTAGAAATATCAATTAACATTTTAAATCCTATTCAGAATGTACATGCTTTATGTATAATTATATACAGAAATTAGAAGACAAGTGTGGACCATTTGCTACCATTATATCAAGTAAACATTTCTGAGCAGAGCAGTCAATTAAGTGACTTAGCAAATTAATGTTCACAAAATTAAGGTACTTACATCATCCTCTTCTTCTAACATGCCACCTTGTTCAAAAGCTTCCATGTCTTCTGCTTCACCATCATCCTCTTCATCGTCATCATTATCTTCATCACGGTCTGCTTTTGTTTGACTAGTCTAAATTTAGAAATAAGTGTAATGATGGACTGACTCACAATCCCCGAAATATTGAGTTTAGGACAATTTACTAAGGCAAACTTCCCATCATATTCTCAATTCTTAAACTGATATTTCATGCATCTTCAAATCCATAATTCAAATAATACAAATGTTCTGTTTACATATAAACAGTTAAAAATACTGCCATGTTGGACTGTCTTTTGTGGCCTACTATTCCATTGAAATACATTCATGGAATTTTTCTAATGGAGTTTTGGAATAAGAATGCATGATTGTGATTTAACTAAAAGTTCATTCAATATAAAAAATAGATGTCCAAAGTCACCAATAATTTACACACACTCTTGTTGATCTTTTGTCTACATGAATTTTAATAAATCAAATGATAGAAAGTGTGTTGTACTCAATTGGACAACCATCAAAGTTAATTTACAAACAAAATGAGAGTAGAGTGAAAATAATGATACACCATGAATTTTTTACAAAAAGCACTACAGACATGTGCTAGTGCTTCTCAATCTCAATTAATAAAAATGTCTGTATACCAGTTGAGTTTAAAAATGAAAAGACAATACTTAATTAATCATAATTTCTTATCTCAGGCCTGGCAGAGTGGGGGGGGGGGTACTTTTAAAAAAGAAAAAACTGTTATGCTCTATACTGATCCCTAGGTAAAGAGACTCCCAGTTGCGAGTCACGATTAGTTTACTGAACAGTCAATCTTTATTTCAAGCCCATTTCACTTCCATTGTATCTCACTTTCGTCCCTTATCTGTCAAATAATTCACTGCTATCAGTTATGAACAGTTAAATCAAGAGGTTGCCATACAAAATACGCCTACATTTTCCAAGAAATGTATGGAGAAGAGGCAAAACCAATAGGACTCATCCTCACCAATTGTAGCTCCACTAGAGGCCCTAAAAATTCATACACATTTCACATTTTGCGTAAAAAGCAGGGGCTATAGCTCTAAAACGTGAGGTCTGCTCACTCTGCTGCATACCAAAGTTATCCAAAAACTTTTGATCCTTATACATAGTTTAAGTTTCATCTCATGAATCAGAAAAAAAATGTAGCCTTAAGAAGGTCCACAAACTTCATTCATATTTTACATTTTGCGTAAAAGGCAGGGGCCAATGCACACCAAAATTGAACTCATCCAAGAGCTAGTGATACTGTTTTATGTTCATATAAATCGGATAAAAATTCTGAACTTTCAAATACATGTATATTTGAACGGTTTTGAAAATAAGATTAAAATGGTGACCTCTAGAGGGGTCCACAAGCTAAAAATGTGATATTTTGTACAATCAGGGGCCATAATTCAGAAAGTTACAACCCAATACGAACCTTTGGAATATATCAAAATTGGATGAAAATTTGAATCTCTGGATGGCCCACAACCTGGATATTTAATGGTTTTAAGGGTAGCGACCATTTTGTCAGGCAGTGTAACAGTGATATATTTGAACGGTTCTGACAATCAAATAAAAACTGTGAGGTCTAGAGGGTCCACAAGCCAAAAATGTTGAGATCTTTCAGTTATAAACATACACTGGACAGAAGTACAAATTAAACGATTTATGGTGATTTTAAACAGTTTTTACGAATTTTTAAACAAAGATTTGATATTAAACGAATGTGAAAGAAATTAGTGCTAGATACACAAGATTAAATGATACCTGGTTTACAGTGATATCCCCAGGAGTTTTCGGCTCCTGGACCCTCGCCTCAAGTCCTAGGATGGTAGCACCCCCAATCATGAATTGCTTATGTCGACCCTGTATCTAATAAGTGCAGCTAAAGAAAGTGAGTATTTTATAACCAATTTGTATCTTCCTTCAAATGACAAACTCAATGTATTAACTCGGATATTAAATACTGGTAAAAATTTACCTTAGAATCTAATGTCATTTCTGCTACAAGTTCTGCTGTGTTCACAACATTAGAATCAGCTGAAATAGAACAAGCCAACAGTGAGGTTGATGTCCCCCACCAAAATCCCAAAATAAATAGATGACACATATTAATTAATAGCACATTTATTTTTTTAAAAAGTATCGAGCAATCAAACTACATACATGTATACACTAAGTTTCCTCACTCTCTATCAGATATAATCAAGATTATTGATCAATGAAATAGATCAGCTCTGCTTAGCTTCAGCTCGAAATGTTAATCATTGAACTCGGTCAAGACATTCACCTAATGCACATCTACACCAGCAGAGTTGTTATGTTCCAAAGTCTTGACCAGTCAAATTGCTTATCGCTCCTTAGCCTAAGCAGAAAACTCTCACCATCGAACTTAGTCAAGGTAATGATATCATGAATCTATATTCAGAGTTTCATCGCTCTCACTTCATTATAACCAAAGTTATCGTGCCCCAAAGCATCAACCAATCAAATTGCTTATCTCTGCTTACCGTAAGCCGACAATGTTCATCAATGAACTCTATCAAGGCATTCACCTACATGTAATGAGAGAGAGAGAGAAGTGGGGTTTAACATCCACTCGACACAAACTAGGTCATTTCGGGACAAACATACATGTATGGTTCAATTTTATTTGCATAATTCGCTTGCACGTAGGGGTCTTTAGCAGTGGGAGGAAACCGAAGGACCCGGAGAAAACCCACGAGGTTGGACAGGCGACCCTACTCCTTGTCACGTACAACCGGGGAATCGAAACCACGCCAGTTGACTCAATGACAGACTTTATGATACAGCGCGCACGTGCTAACCATTCAGCCATCCAACCCCCCCATTCACCTAATGAACGCAGGCATACACCAAGTTTGAACATTCTACCTCAATTAGAAAGAGAGTTATTGTGTCCCAAAAAATATGATGGACAGAGGGACACACAGACAGATGAACCCATTTTAATAGTCCCCTGCTTTCTTCGAAAGGCGGGGGATAATTATATAAAAAAAGATAGGTTGCCAGGCAACAAAACATACGCCCACAGCAGCTAAATCGTCCGAGCGGTCAACAAGGGTTGTCACATATTTATTCTTTTGTAGGTAATTAGGGGCATTTAATAGACAATTTCATACAGATGACATTATAATTTTCGTCGTTTGAGGGGTCACAAGGTTCTAAAAACTAAAATAAGGGCCATAGCACTGGAAGTAATCTACAGAAATTATTGAAATTCGACAGGATTTTTCGTTTTACTAATTCAAATAATGCATATAAATTCCTATACTCCTCGCAGTGTTTCGTTTGTTTAGAGCTAATCCCACTACTCACTGCTGTAAACAAAGAAAATTCTTGTTCTAAATTATGACTGGTCAATAGTCCGATTAACAACCAATAGATTACTGCGTAACAATACCAAACAAAGCTCCAAATTGGACCAAATATGTTTATATAACGTTATGTCATGACGCACGATTTTATTATGCCCAATTAACCAGTGCATAGCAGAATATTGCAGAAAAACTAATTGTGTGACAAACAAGGCTATCAACTGTCAACACGATTTTTACTCTGTGGATATTATGTAAACAATATAGTTTTGAGACGAACAACACTTTCACCGTTTTTAATACCTTAAATCACTGTCCAAAGTTTTAGGGAAGACCCCTGATTAAACGAAGGGCTGTCATGTTGCTGTGATTTTGGATAGATTTGATTGAACGGGAAGAATAGACACACTCCCTCAAAAGCGCAAGTATCAGAAGCTAATCCAGCAATGGCCAGAGAGGGATTTCTCGGGCCATTGCTTCAGGAATATGATAAATTCCATACAGATTGGATGATAGTAAAACAAGGGCCATAACTCTAGAAGTAATTGACGGAAATTGCTTACATTCAATAGGCTTCTTCATTTCACTAATTTAAATGATGCATTTGAATTTCATACATATTGGGTGATAACTTTTGTCATTCGAGCATTCACAAGATTCAACAAAGTGAAACAATGGCCATAACTATACACGTAGATGTAATTAACGGAAATTTGCTGAAACTCAAAAGGCTTGTTCGTTTTACTAATTTAAACCATACATGTAAATTTCATACAGATCCGATAATAATTTTTGTCGTCAGAGCATTCACAAGGTACAACAAATTGAAACAAGGGCCATAACTCATGGCATAGTTAATGGAAATTGATGAAATTCAATAGGATTCTTTGTTTTACTTATTTAAATGATGCATATAAATTTCATACAGATCGTTTGATAACTTTTGTCATTAGAGCGTTCACAAGGTGCAACAAGGGCCATAACTCATGGCGTAATGAACGGAAATTTGCTGAAACTCAATAGACTTGTTCGTTTTACTAATTTAAACCATACATATAAATTTTAAACAGATCGGATGATAACTGTTGTCATTAGAGTGAAACAAGGGCCATAACTCTAGATGTAATTAAAGCAAATCTCTGAAATTCAAAAGGATTCTTTGTTTTACTATCTAAATGATGCAAATGCATATAAATTTCATACAGATCGGTTGATCACTTTTGTTGTTAAAGCGTTCACAAGGTGCAACAAAGTGAAACAAGGACCATAACTCCAGACGAAATTAACGGAAGTTATTGAAATTAAATAGGCTTCTTCATCTCACTAATGCAAACAACATATATTAATTTCAAAACAATCAGATGATAAATGTAGTCTGTAGAGTATTCCCAAGAAATTGTGGACCATGGATGGACGGACCGACCGACAGACAGACGGACGCAACGGCAATATACGACCACATTTCCATGGGGGTGTATAATGACAATGAATACATCTCAGTAATTTAGTCTAGGAGAATAAATTCACCATAAAAGCTACCATTTTTATTATTCAATGCAGGCTACAATTTTTATGAGTTGTTAACCAAAGGAACTGGAACAAACAATGTCCAATTTGGCAATCAGTACAAGCTTTCCCTTTTACCTGGAACATTTTAAGACATCAAAAATTATGAGAAGCCATAGCGGGTACTTACGAGCAAAATGGTGTGTATCCACCCAACCACCATCATCATCTTCCTCAATAACCTTTTCTTGTTCTTGTTGATGTGTATCCATTTGTTTTACTCTTTTATAACATGGTACTACAATAACAAACTATTATACTATTAACTACAGCTCTTGTTTTCACATATATTGGTCAGTCAAGACTGACATACACTGAAATTTAACGCTCCATACATAAAACTTAGGACGTTTTATTTGGTGTAAAAGATTTGGTAAGCTTACACAAGGGCCATTACAGATCTGGGGCTTGGACAGTGCAGTGGATGATTTGATAGTTGTCTATATGTGTGATTATTTGTTTGTTTCTAGTACATTGTCGTGTGTGGTGCTGTCAGTCTGCAATTACTATTATAAGCTTACAGATTTATCTCAATTATATAGTTTTAAGATAATTGCAAGAAGAATCTTACCATTTCGAGTTATAAGGAATTGTTTATCTGGAGGTAAATATGGTCTTATCTTTATGTCTTCTCCAGTTGCCCACTGCCATGTTGGACAATGATGTACAATGTGATCACCAGCAACTACAAACTATAAAATAACAAAACTATCAAACAGGGTTGATTCCAAATCCACAGTTTCATTACTGGTTCTACTTTTCACTCAAATCTACACTTGTACTTAAGAGTAATCCATATATTATTGTTTTCCAAATTTAATCTTTCATTTACTACTCGGTAACATTGCATTCTGACCTTTCCATTGAGAGCAATCAACATAACCATGACTTATAGTATTGATAAATTAGGGAAAGAACAAACCTCCTCTGGTGTTATAACGCCTGTTTCTTTAAATTTTGATTCCTGTAAATGTGAAATGAAGATTAACAGTAAATACATGTATTCAAAAATGATGCCTGAAAATTCAATACACATTCACAGCAATCAACAAGCGTTGAGTATTGTCAAATAAATGAAATGGGTTTTAAGTTTTAACGTCACACTTTGTCAAACGAATTGTCAAATGGTTGTGGGAATGAGGAATAGTTCTGGAGAGAGAGAAAGAGAAATGGAGTTTAACGTCCACTCGACACAAACTAGGTCCTTGCGCGTAGGAGTCTTTAGCAGTGGGAGAAAACCGGAGGACCCGGAGAAAACCCACGAGGTTGGAGGGGCGACCCTACTCCTTCTCACGTACAACCGGGGAATCGAAACCCTGCCAGTTGACTCAATGACATACCGTATGATATAGCGCGCACATGCTAACCATTCGGCCATCCATGGGCATCCAACCCCCCGAATAGTTCTGGAAAAACTATAATATTATATAAGTTACATTAGTAATAATTTTTATACATCCATCCACCACAAATATTTGATCATCTCTGGAACATTAGGCTTCAAAAAGAAAATGTCTTCTCCCTTATATTTCTTTCCTTTCAATAATAACTGTATATTTTATCATGTATTACTATTTTGTTTTCTACCAATTTGGTATGTCGGCTATATATTTGTTTATAGTTGGGGAACAGCAGGGGCTCTCATTACTCTCAAGTGTGTAAGACACTGGATCACTAACCAAGAGATAATGGCGGATTTGGGTAAATCGATTTACAGTAGTAAATCAAGAAGCTTGGAGAATGGTGAGGCTGTACAGTGTTGATGGTGGGATTTCATTACTGACAAAAAAGATCTACATGTATTACAGGGCCAGATTCCTAGAAAATTCTTAAATTAAGCACAAAGTCATGCTTCACTTTTTCTTACGTAAGAAACTTTATAAAATACCGTCTCTAGAAAATTCTCAAGAACATTCTTACGTAAGCACCAGTCAAGTACGAGTCTAAGCACATTGTGACTGGTAAACTGAGACTACGATACTCTCTAACGTCATAAAAACAATTTTGGTATGCCAATTACGTCATAAAATGGTCAATTTAGATGCATTTGACATGACCCCTATATACATATAAAATGAGCCACAAGCTAAAAAAAAAAAACCAAGCCCATGCAGACAGACTGAATAAGTGTGAGAGTGTCTGATCTTAAAGTAGCCTGTGTATTTGTGTTGTTTACTAATTGGTAAATAAATCAGATGGTTTCAGGGTAGAAGCAAAATTTTCTATAGCATTCTTCTTGAGAATATGTTTCTAAAGGATTTTCTGTCTTTCAATTGTCTCTTTGGTATCAAAAGATGTAGGAAATACGTGGAATAACTCTATGTCAACATTGATGTTGTGATCTTACCGGGAAAATATTGGCTTCTGATATCCAATATTTAAAACAAAATAAATATTTTACCATTGGTACAGAAATCGTGGACCATAATGCGTTTGGGCGCCATTTGTAACAAGGGCTTAAAGAACGAGGCTAGACATATTCCACAAGTCATGTCAAACGGTGACGGTATATTCTTATCTGGAGAGCATGCACAATAAATACTATCGGTGCAGAATGGAATAACCAGATGCTAGAGACTGCAATTCAACTGAGAGTTCTGCCGTATTTCGCCGAACATAACGGTTTAGAAATTACAGTAAAAACAGAAACGATTGAATGTAAATTAATTTATATACATTCATATTATATTATCATATACGTTGTGACCCATTTGTGTCAATTTCTAGTTCCCAAATATTAGCGATTTAGCTCATTTAAGGTTGGTAAGCAAGCCGTATACCTTGCTTGGGACTTATGCTTAGATTGACAATGTTTAAGAACGAAGTTGTGCTTAAGTTTTTTCTTGGAACACATAATAACGTGCTTGTGCTTATACTGAAGTCTACTTAGAATCTAACACAAGAACGTTAAGAATTTTCTGAAAACAAAAAATAAGATAAGTTTACTTAAAGATACATTATGGGAGATTGTAATAGAGAGTTGGCCATTCTTGCTATAACAGTTCAAAAATAGATGATGGAAGAAGAATATATTGAAAATTTCAGTCAAATTACTTTATTCTGAACAAAGTTATCACCATTGTTATTTTTGACTAGAAATAGGAGTCAACTCTACATGTATCTTCACCGTCTCCGAGAATGGCCGATCGTTTGATTGACAGGCGTTAACTCCACCTACATAATCTTGATTATCAACTAACGTTTTCAATGGCTGTGGTAATGTAAGCCTATTCGGTTTGAGACGCGGTTGCAATTCAATTCATTTCACATTTATTTTAACTACAAATTAAAAATAAGACTTTTAATATATAGATAAGAAGCGAAAGTTTGAAAGGAATGGACCAAATCAATGAGGCAGCATTGTACATGTCATAAGTATAGCCGACTTCTTGTTATACATTGTAGCCTGCGTGTACTCTTGTACTGTAACTGGTAGGCCTACGTGACTCCCGAAGCAAACAAATAGGAAACAGTGATCCAATGGGACTGCAATTCAACTGGGGTGAAGTTAGCTGCGATGTTTATCAATTTCCATAATTTTTCTAAAAACGCAAGAGACAAAAGAGCGTATAATACCGACATCCAAACTCTCATTTTAACCACAACTAAATGATAATATCAAGGCCGTATATTGAACTTTCAATCAAATTGACTGACATGCTCAACAGCGGCCTCGCTTCGTACGCTCTATCATTTAGCTACGATCATCACTGCCTTTTATGGAAAATTTCCGGGAGTATGATGTCAACGTAAGGATTAATCTTCGCTTACGACGCCATTTAAAAATTTAATCAATCAATGAAATCCTGTTTAAATCCAAACCATTCGTGGGTCTTCAGAGTTGATTTTGATCTTGTTGTGTAAATAAAGATTTAATTTATAATTTCTATGACATCTGAAGCCTAAATAAAGACTTAAAATATGCTGATTTAGCTCTTGCATAATGCATGTTTAAATGCAAAGTCTACTTGCCCAGTTCTCAAGAATAGTCTTTGTTTCAATTTCCTATTTGTGATTAGGCTACATCTATGCTGCCTCTGCACAAATCAAATGTGTTGTCCCTATATATTTAATAATTTGTTGGGTTTTTTTCCCCCATCAGTTTGTTTTAAATAAATGGCAATCATACCGTGAGTACAGGTGTCAGGTATTCGGCAACACCTCGGGCTGTGCCCTTTACAGCATTTATCATATTCTGCATGGTTCTTGGTTAAATATTGAAGTCTAATACATCACGGGACAGCTTGTTATTATTTTTAGCCCCCTCCCACTAGTAGTAATTAATTAATTTCAAAATAGGAGAGCTGAAACGGGAAATAACTCTAATAGCGGTTTTCGCACCGTAGCTGTGGTGGTAAGTGTGCCCCCTTCTCAAGGCGATTAAGGGTGTTTGGTCAAGCCTACCGTGAATGCAATTCTTTTTCTTTGTCCGCAGCCGCAAAAATTTTAAAATGACTAGACCTGAATGTGTATGGAGATTATAATATTGTGCATTCTTTTGTGAGATGAACTTGCTGTCTTCGTTGATATAGTCAGCACTAGATAAGAAACATCATCTCTCAAACCCCCGTGTTTCGAGATAAGAGATGGTGCTATATAGTTTCATTCAAAACAACAATTGAGTATTGTTTTACAATTAAGCTTAAAATCCTACCTGACACGGGTACAAATCCCCAGCTTTTAAATCGAAGGAGTAATAGATTGCTTTCTCCGACGTCGTGTAAATAAGCATGTTTTAGTGAAAACAAGCATTTTTCTTGTTCCTCTTAATTATTGCATGCAAATATTAGTATTTGTGATTGTTTTTATAGGTACGTGTACATGCATTCATTTATGTATTGTTTTTATCTCACCTTGGGTAAAACGTAATTGATTCCGTGTAATCCAGCACTTATTTATTTTCCCCTTTATTTTTATTTATTTATTTTTTTGGTATTATTATTTAATTATTTCTTTTATTAAAAAAAATAAATATAATAAAATAAAATTAAGCTCAATGTATAACTTCTTAACTCAGAGGGGCCTACGGTTCTGTCACCTAAATCTATGTCATTTATATAACAAATTAGATGAACTAAAGCTGTTAATTGAAAACTGTGATATAGTAGGTTTTTCAGAAACACATTTAAATCAAATCATCAAGGATGATTATTATCTAAGTATACCCGGATTTTACCCCCTATTTCGTAAAGATGGTTGCAACGCAACCTCGTCTGGAACCATAATTTATGTAAGAGAGTCACTTAAATGTAAACAAAGAAATCATTTAGAACACAGTAATATTGAGTCAGTCTTTGTTGAAATCAATTTAAAAAACACACAGCCTTTATTAATTTCTTGTACATATAGAAACCCTGCATCAAGATCTAAGTGGTTAATAGATTTTAAGGAAATTACTACTAAACAGAAAATTAAACAGAGTCAGTCTAACCTGTCAATAATTATCAATAATTCTATTATAGAAAATGTCTCAAACTTCAAACTACTAGGCGTAATCATGGATAACCATCTTCAGTGGAATGAACATGTTAAATATGTTTCAAAAATCATTAACCAAAAATTATTTCAACTTCGCAAATTAAAACAACTTCTACCTATTAAATTTCGGTCTATGTTTTACAAATCAAATATTCAACCCTATTTTGATTACTGTTCACCTATATGGGACAGCTCTGATAAACATTTTTCAGACTTCCTTCAACACCAGCAAAATTCAGCCCTTAAACTCATTCTTGATGTTCGACACACTGCCGAAATTTCGTATGCAGCCAATGATAACAATATCAATGTTTTGAAAGTGGAAAACAGGCAACTATTAAATAAACACATGCTCTTGCACAAAATTATAAATCAGCAATGCCCAAACTACCTCGCTGAAACACTGTTATATAATTCCACCCGTTACTCTAACATTAATAAACGACTGATTGTACTAAGACCAAATCTTAGTGTAGTCAAAAATAGTATTAAATTCTGTGGACCACGCCTATGGAATACATTACGTACCATGTTTTCTCAAACAGTTGAAATCCGGCAACGCCTTCCGCGTCGAACTAATTAAATATCTAAATGAAAATTAATTATACCGTCTTTCACCCGATTTGATTAACCTTATATTCATACAATCTATATAGTATATACATTGTTGCATGTATTAATTATGAACTTGTCACAGTCAATCTTCTTGAAAGCCATGTTGCACCTTTTATGTGCCAAAAATGTACATCTGTAAATACATGTTCAACTTGTTTTGTTTCTTGGGGAGGGTTTGGGTTTTTTATGATTGTTTCTTTTTATATATATTATATTTATAATATATATTTTTGATGTATACATTTCTATCCCTTTTCTATCTATTAATGTACATATGTTCCCATTGTTTAAAGGGCAAAATGTAAGAAAGGCCATTGGCCTAATTTTCAACCCTTCTGAAATAAAGTAATTATTATTATTATTATTATTATTATTACATTTTAAATTTACGCCTTTAACACATCGGGCTTCAAATAAGCCAAATCGACAAATTTTTATTCAAAACAACGATTGATTTTTATTATTTATAACATTTCTGCACATCCAACTACAATTAAGCAGAACATCCTACCCGACACGGGTACAAATCTCTTTTTAAATCCTCTTTTGGCGCTTAGTGGCCGAGATTGTCAACTCAGAGTAGGGCAGTGGCCAGAAACCTCGAACAAACCAGATGGACGGTATCGGAGGAAGCTTAAATTTTCCTGAACTACATCTTTATTTCGTTCTGATTTAAATATTCTGCTGGTCTACACTAGCCCGAAGAAAATTTGGATCAAAAGGCAATCTTTTCCGATAATTCTGACAGTGAACCGTGATTCAAGGTTTTCGGTATGCTCAGAGAAGGATTTGACCGACTGTTTTAAGTGGACTGTACCCAAAAATACTTTACAAAGGAACTCTTGGACGATAAATACTTTCAAGTCTTGGAGTGTGTGGAGAAATAATCGAAATGTGGACGGAAAGAAAATTCTGAAAGATATCTTAGACATGGAGTATGGATAACCGATTTAATATGCCGCACTCGGCAAACCTCGGCAGATTCCGTTACTCTACATCTAGCCTCGGCTGTATGACGGTAAGTGATATGTACCTACGCCTATACAATTGCAATGCGGCACCGGGTTACTTATTAGGAAAACTTGCCGCTTTTAAAAAGAAGTTATCAAAATTGCGTCTTTCGAAGCGTGTGTAGAATTTTCGGTGCATAGTTGTACTTGTTTGAAGAAAATCGGATAAACTTGAAATAAAAACAGCTTCAGACTTTGAAATACGTGTATGATAAAACATTCTTGAAAGGCGTCGTCATGGGTAACGCTGTTAGTAATCCGGGGGCTTGAAAGTAGTTCCGAGGCTAGATGTAGGGTACTGGAACCTGCTGAGGTTTGCCGAGTGAAATATGCCGATAAGCACGCCGTCTATTTCGGTCCTGAATGCTACAAACTGTACCATAACAATTTTTAACTGTCAAAAGAATAAAAATTTATTTCTGTGTTCTTTGTATTATTTCGATCATCTACGTCATTAGCGAATGCCGATAAGCACGCAGTCTATTTCGGTCCTGAATGCTACAAACTGTACCATAACAATTTTTAACTGTCAAAAGAATAAAAAATTATTTCTGTGTTCTTTGTATTATTTCAATCATCTACGTCATCAGCGGTTGATATCAGCCGAATATATTGACCTGAGATGACGTCATTAGCGGTTGAAATGAAATATCAACCTGTCAGGACGTCATCAGCGGTTGATATGAACCGAATATATCAACCTATGGTGACGTCATGACAGGTTGTTATGAGATATAACTGCTATGGACATCAAAGAAAAAACTACCGCCAGTTGTATATTGACTATTATCAACCACCGGATACACTTTGTATTATTTCGATCATCTACGTCATGAGCGGTTGATATGAGCCGAATATATTGACCTGAGATGACGCCATTGATGTCCCACAGGGCAGTGTATTGGGACCACTATTATTTTTATTATAATATACAATCAAACATCAGACTATTTGCAGATGACACTTCTCTGTACTTAAAAATAGATGACGTAGAGGCATGCGCAGTTACCCTAAAAAAAGATCCCCAAACAATTAATATAGGGGAGGAAACGTGGCTAGTGACATTTAACCCCCTCAAGACAGAAACTTTAACACTCACGACTAAACGCAACATTGTGAAACCACCCCTTTTAATGAACTCAATTAAAATAAAGGAAGTAACTGAACATAAACATTTTGGACTTTCTTTTCAAGCTAATTGTAAATGGAACAGCCACATTGATAGTATCATTAGTAAAGTATCAAAATTAGTAAACTGCCTACACTCCTTGAAATATCGTTTAAACAGAAAATCGCCAAATACCTTATATTCTTCATTCATTCGGCCGCACTTTGACTATGCCGATGTTATCTGGGACGGACGCACAGACTACTTATCTAATAATCCAGTAGACGTGGTGCAAGGGTTAATCAGCGAACTGGATGTATAAAATGTGTTGTTGACGTTTGGGAAAGTAGGACGAGGGGAAATGTGTAGGGAGTGAAGTGCTGTAAAGGGATAGTTAGATGTATTATGAATGGTTAGAGTGGCTGTGGTGTTACGGTGAAATACTATGCCGCCACCGTAACACCACAGCTTTATGATTTGTTAGACAGGAGTGATGTAATGGGTGTCAGCAACTGGGTATGCTGGTACCGTCGCAACGTAGCCGTGAAATATATATTGTGGGGGGGAAGGGCGGAAACGGAAAAATATACAATGTTGACAGTATGTGACAGGCATGAGGCTGCGCAGACCGAGCGGCAGCTCGATAGGGAGTGTGTGGGAGGGTCACCCTCATAAAAAATTTTTTTTTTAAATTTCAGTTTTCTGTAAGCAGTGAAAACACTATTTTGGCATTGTTTGCGGGGTTAAACCTAAAAATCACATTAATACACCTATTGCACGATATTGTGAAACTAGCTGACGAAGACAGCTCGGGCGGCGATTGTTCGACTCGGGGCTGCTCTGTCAGTATCTAACAAACGCATTTAGTTCGCGTACAACTTTTAAAAACCGAATGTCAGTATGGTATTTCTCACATAATTGGTTATCGCAAAAACAGAGTAAACTGAAAATGAGTAATCTCGACTCAAACCTATAGTCTATAGCCTACTTACAGTACTACACTCGTCACTAGGCTTCCCATATTATTGTTTGTGGACGGTTTACTACTCAGTGATAAGCCTGCGCCGCA